TTTTAACCTTGAAAAGTTAGAAAAAGAGACTTTTTTGAACATTTTTAATAATTTAAAGTGATATATTGTCTGGGTTGGTGTTGTATAATAAGCAACAAAAACCTTGTAATAAACTGACTGTACTTTTTCTCTTAATTTACAGACTTATTTTCTCTGTATATTATTTCTAATACATTATATTATTTCAAACTACTAAAATGGCAATAATTTTCAGAACAGAGATCAAAGTCCCATAATGTAATACACAACCGTAAATAAATGGCAAACTCTTCTGATTCACAAAACATAGAAATTAAATACAGATATTATTGAGTGTATACAACACTACCACATGGAATACACAACCTGATGCATGACTACATTACAACGCTATTACACCCCATACATTCTTTTCGGCTTAGTCCTTTTATTATTCTGGGGTTTTCACAGTGGAATGAACCGCCAGCTTATGTTTTATGCACCCTTCCAGTTGCAACTCATCATTGGGAAACATCCATAAACACTCATTCACACTCATACACTACGGCCAGTTTAGCTTATTCAGTTCTCTTAGAGCGCTACAGGTATATGTCTTTGGACTGGAGGGAAACTGGAGCACCCAGAGGAAGCCCACACCAACACAAAGAGAACATGCGAACTCCACACAGAAATGCCAACTGGCCCTACCGATGCTTGAACCAGTGACCTTCTTGCTGTATGGTGATCTTGCTACCCATTGCGCCAACGTGACCCCATACAGAATGTTGGTATTTATGCTGTACTCAAACAGTAAAGCATAGCTTTTTGCAACTACAATCATTTATGCTTGCCTTGAAACCCAACATTTATGCCAAATGCATAAATGTAAAATGTAAGTAGCCTATGTACTTGCTATTGTCAGTATACTGTAGTCAGGGGTGTCAAACTCAATTCCTGGAGGGCTAAAGCCCTGCACAGTTTAGTTCCAACCCTGCTCCAACACACTTACCTGTAGGTTTCAAACAAGCCTGAAGGACTCAATTAGTTTGATCAGGTGTGTCTAATTAGGGTTGGAACTAAACTGTGCAGAGCTGCGGCTCTTTTGGAACTGAGTTTGACACCTGTGCTGTAGATAGACAGACACTACACTGTGTGAATATAAGAGCGTGAACATGCAGCTAAAAACAGTAATATAAGGGGAGTCCTTTCTAAAATGTAGCACAGAAACCATTCACAATTTGTTCTACTCAAAAAATGCAGGATTCTACACCATGTTGTCCTAATACAAATCGATCAAGTTAACTTTACAAATTTAAGTGGAGTGAACATTAAGTTGTCCCAAACAAATCTCAAGAATTGTTTTGACTCAGCTTATTTTAAATAGTAGTTTGTTTTAGTAAGATCATTTCAATGTTCATTTTGATCATATTGTGCGTAGACTGCTATCAGATCTGCGCTTTGTAAATGCCCCCTAATTAATATCATTACCAGTTGATATTATCAATCATCATCAGCAGTCAGTTGCAAATATGAGCAGCAGAACCATTACAGTCAACTGAAACACATACTGCAGTATTATGCATGTTTTATGGTTGTTTTTGTTGTTGTTGTTGTTGTTGATGATTTAGGAAAGGGATGAGATAAGGGTGAGGCCTTATGTTAGTGAAACATCCAACAAAAAATAATGAACATTTTTAAATCCAAAACATGTTTAAAAGGGTTATAGAAATATCTTGATTGTATGCTAAAAAAATCATGCTGGCAGGCTGAATAATGGCTCACAGTCTGGGATCCATTCGGAAGGGCTCATCCCTATGCTCTAATCCAGGGGTCACCAATCTCGGTCCTGGAGGGCCAGTGTCCCTGCAGGGTTTAGCTCCAACCTGGATGTTTCAAGTATACCTAGTAAGACCTTGATTAGCTTGTTCAGGTGTGTTTGATTTGGAGCTAAAATCTGCAGGACACCGGCCCTCCAGGAACGAGTTTGGTGACCATTGCTCTAATCCCTTCGAAGGGTCCCTCTGAAGAGATTAAAGTATGAGCCCTTCCAAACTGAAGGCAGTGTGTGACAACAAACAACTTCCATGCTCAACAGATCATGGCCTACAGTGTCCTTCAATTCTTCATTTCCAAGGGCCCTTTAAATTGAGCAGTTTTGAGCAGTTCAATTTGGTGACCATTGTTTTCTCTCCAAATTGCCCTTCAGAGAGGAGCGGTATATCTTGTTTGTGACACATCCTATGTCACATTTTTGTGTGATTTGGGCCTGACAGTCCTGTCACAACCATATAATTTTTGCATGCCCTAGTAAATGATTATTTGACCAAATAGACAAGACACTGTAAATATGAAGCTTTTTCTGCTTTCCAAACAGAGCTTCTGCTTTTGAGGTTGCTAAAAAAATGGATCAAGAGAAAGGCCAGTTCCAGGGCCACAACCTTTAAAGGGCACCTATGATGAAAATCAACTTTTGTAAGCTGTTTGGACAGAACTGTTTGATAGTGTGTCCACCGTCATATAGGGGTGATAGAAACACAATCAGTCTCTTTTTTAGAGTTCACTGATGTTAAAACAGGACCCAAATCCCAGTGATTTTGAGGACCAATGTAGAGGTCTGCATAATTTCCGAATAAAGCGTGGGAGCGGTCGGTAACTGGTTTTGGACGTGAGCGGGCGGTCTAACAATATTGCTCCCGACTCCCGAGTGAGCGAGCACGAGTATGTGTGTGAATGAGACAGCGTGATGCTGCGTTTAGCTTGTTTGTTGCTGTGTGTGTGTGCGTGTGTGCGCGAATGAGAGAGAGAGATATTTGTGCTGTCTGTGTGTGTGTGCTTGGTGCTTGTGTGTGTGTGTGTTTACAGACAGCTTGTTATAGGCTGTCTGGACTCTGTATAGGTGGTTCATCCTTTCAGAAAGGCTTAAACAGGGCCGGAGTGGGACCCTGGAGTTTCAAGCCTTAGACCTGCCCACCTCAGTTCATGACAGACAATATTAAAATAACATTATTTCCAATTCAGTTTCTAATGACACTACCACGTTTTTTAAAGAAAACAGCTACTTTAGAACTTTAAATATTCAACAACCCTAACAGCATTTTATGTCTTAACAATAAAAATGAAAAATAAATAAATAAATAACTAGTTAGGTGAGGTTCAAACCTGGGTCGGTGGCATCGTAACACAACGTGGTGACCACTGGTGCATGACTCATTAAACCACAGTATTACTTTCTATTGATGGCTTAATCTTTTTCTCCCCTTTTTAGATTTCTGATCAAGTTATGTCAGATATAAAAATGTAGTGAATCATCTGATTTTTTTATGAGCAGGTGTAATATTCATTAATATTAATTATTCAAATTCTTATTTTCACTAAGGTGCCGCTGTTTGGGGTCGAATGGTCATTATTAACCTGCAGGCTGCATTTTGCTCATAGGGCTGTGAGAAAATAAATAAAAAGAGTGGAGCAAAGCGGCAAAATAATGTATAAAAAGAGTTAGGTTATGGTCAAATGAATAAATAAATGAAAAAAGTCTGACTGCTGAGAGTGCAAACAGCTAGGACACCGGCCCAAAATACAGACCGGCCCACCGGGAATTCTCTCGGTCCTCCCAATTAGCCAATCCGGGCCTGGGTTTAAATAAACTCCACTAAGGAGCAGTATTTCAGCTTTATTTGAGTCTGTCTCTGACTGCTGTTTATCTGACGACGTAACGCATGACGAGAAGCAGATAGGCACATGGGAACGGTGGGTGGGGAGAAGCAGCTCATTTGCATTTAAAGCCACAGGCTACAAAAACAGCTACAGTATACTCAGACACTAAAATAGGCAGAATCTGGAGGCTATAATAAATAATCTGATGGGCATTTTGAGCTGAAACTTTACAGACACATTCTGGAGACACCAAAGGCTTATCTTACATCTTGTAAAAGGGGTAAAATATGTGCCAGGTTGGAAACATCTAACATCACAGTATGTCATATTACAGCTTGGTAATAACAGGGTGATACCATAGAAATATCTACATCACTACTTAGGAAATGTACATAGTGTTACCCTGTTATTGCTGAGCTGGAATAGGATGTGGTACTCCTATCTGTGTTTTTGCCAATTTTGTTGTTTATTGTTAATTTGAATTGTGATTAGTTAATAAATGTATTGTTAAATAAAATCAAATTTGTGTATGTTATGTATATGTATGTTTATATAAGTCGTCAGTTGTATTATAATATAATAAAATTGTTATGCTGTCTTTGGCTGAAATTTACCATCAACAAATTAACAGTAAAATGATATAATTATAATTTAAAATAGCAATGCTTCTCAAAACTTTAAACGAAGAGCACAAAAAATACTTTTTTCTGTATCAAAAAAAAAAAATCCAAAAGTCACTCCACGGTCAGCTCTGTCCTTATAAAAAAAAATTTACTACACGAAGAAATATTGATGAATTAATCTGTTTAACTGTGTGTGTGTGTGTGTGCGTCTGTGTCTGTGTAAGTTTCTTACAGGAATTACAATATTCAGGGACATGTGCCCAATAGTAAAATTATATTTGCATCAAATAAATAAGAAAATTATTCTAACAAATATATGTTTGTCTGTGACAGGGACAGATATTTTAGGGGTGATATGAAAACGTATTTTATTCAATAATAATAATAAATGCTTAGTTTAAAATGTCCTCCATGACTCCATGATTTTGTCCCTCAAGTAAAAATGTACATTTCTGGTAGAATTTACCATATGAAACAATCAAATCTGATCTTTAATGTACTTTAAAAAAAATCTCAGAATTAGGTTGCAGCTGGAAGAGCATCCGCTGTGTAAAAACATAGGCTTGATAAGTTGGCGGTTCATTCCGCTGTGGCGGCGCCAGATTAATAAAGGGACTAAGCCGAAAAGAAAATGAATGAATGAATGAATGAATGAATGAATGAATGAATAAAAAAATATGACGTCTGCTGTTGTTCATACATTATTTAACATTTTGGCCACATGATGGCACTGTCGCGCCTTTTTTGAAGGACTGGTTTGTGCAAACCACGTGACAGAAACCGAAAAAGATACAGCTACATTTTCAAGAAAATGAAAGTAAATAAAAGTCCATCCTAGATTGGTCTATGAGACATGAGGAAGTAGATTACCGAAGAAGAGAAAAAGAGTTTCTTTATCCTCTTTCAACAACATGGCCCAAATAAATGGTACGTTTACAATTTAATCTTAAGATAACGCTACATATGTGTATGACTGTGGTTGTATTACGTAAGAAATGCGAACATTATGCTAGTTTACAGTGTACAGAGAGTGTGACTTTCAGATTTTGCTGTATCATCGTACTGAATTGTTATCTTGACAAACAGTCATACACAGATTTGTTTTTGGAAAACAAAAAAGTAAAATTTGTTGCATTAATACAGATTTTCAATAACAACAAATACAAAAAAATACTGATCAATGAAATAAAAAAGCTTCATTAAATAGTAGGTTTATGAAATTAGAAATGTTACAGTATCAAATGTTCACTGCAAAAAAATGCTTTTCCTACACTGACTTTTTAATATTATTTTTTATTTAGTTTTATTAATTTTTTTTTTGCTGCCTGTTCAAACTGTTTATATAAATGAGCTGAAACAACACAATTCTTGAGTTTTTAAGGGGGACAACTTGGTTGTTTTATGTTTAATTCACTTTAAAAAAAAAAAAAAAAAACATAAGCTAACTCAGGCATGTCCAAACTCGGTCCTGGAGGGCCGGTGTCCTGCTGAGTTTAGCTCCAACTTGCTTCAAAACACCTGCAGGAAATTTCTAGTTTATCTACTAACAGCTTGATTTAGCTGGTTCAGGTGTGCTCGATTAGGGATGGAGCTAAACTCTCCAGGACACCAGCCCTCCAGGACTGGGTTTGTACACCACTGAGCTAACTTAATACATTTTTGTTAAGATGACATGAAGAGATTGTGTGGAATCCAACATTTTTTATAGTGTACTTAGATTTTTTTTTCCTGTTTCCAGTCCAAATGTCTAAAAATTCTCATATCAAGCCAGTGGGGTAAGAAAAATAATCTTATGTCAACAGGAAAAACAAAATTTTTTATACCCCATTGCCAGAATATTTTGATTGTTTTAAAGAACTTAAATATTTTGCTTGTCTAGAAAATTCGTCTTGACTTAAGAGTTTTTAGATATTTGGACTAGAAACAAGACAAAAAAATTGCTTTTTTTTGCATGGCATAGTAACATTTCACCCAAAGACATAGCTGCATTCAGAGAAACTGGAGTTTCCAAGTAATCTGCTTATGTATGTTTTTTTTTTTTTACTTTAGGAAATCCAAACACTCAAAACGAAGATGACTATTCAGGAAAGAAACTCAAAGCTCTTCCCAGACAGCTGCTCCAGAGAGGTGCCGATGCAGTAAAGGTGGAGCTACAGCGAAACCGACTCAGGCAAATCACTGATATCTCACAACTTACAAACCTCAAAGAGCTCAACCTGAGCAGAAATGAGATCACCGACTTTCCTGTGGAGATTAGAGCATTACGCCAACTCAAGACACTTTATTTGAATCAGAACAATATCAAAACCATCCCAGAAAATGTCTTCCCGTCTTTGGAAAAACTGAATTTCCTAAAGTTGAGCACCAATCGGCTTGAAAAGCTACCCAGTGACATTAGCAGATGCCAAGATCTAACCTATCTGAACCTGTCCAACAACTGCCTGAAGGATCTGTATCCTCTTGTGGGACTCTCGCGCCTAAAAGAGCTGTATATTGAGAGGAATCAGCTGGCAGAGCTACCAGACAGGCTTTTTCAAAACAGTAGCTTGAATGTGTTTAAAGCTAATGGCAATCCTCTGAGAAAGCCGCCTGGAGAAGTCTGTGCTGGAGGATTGAAAGATATTCAGAATTACTTTGCTATGCTTGAAGCAAATGCCCCAGATGTCTACACTGTGAAGACCATGTTTCTGGGCAACTCCATGGCAGGAAAATCCACTCTGTGCCGCAGTCTAAAGGAGGGTTGCCCTGTGCAAGTGGCAGAGGCCGATCGTACTGTAGGGATTGAGATCAGTGAATTTACAGTGAGAGATGGCAGTGATAGCATCCGTTTTTTATTTTGGGACTTCGCTGGACAAGAGGAATACTACATCACACATCATGTATTCATCACTCCTCAAGCCTTTGTCATTCTAGCCATCAACCTTTCCAGGTAAAGTCGATTTTTCTTGCAGTACAATATATTTTAAAGAGAATTTCCTAGCAATCGTCGATGAACTGTTACTTATTACTTCAGTAGTTTGTGCTACAACCTTTAGTCTGGGCTTTTGCTTTTCCAAACATTTAGATGATTTATGTTTGCATTGAAGGAGGGATCCCATCTACGTCAGTGTTTTAACCCTTGTGTACTGCTGGGAATGTTTTGATCCACCATGGGGTGATTTTTAGTGTTAATTTGGCCACAACTTCCTCTGTGTTTCAGCAAATGGAATGATTTTTGTGTGACGTCTTATTTTGACACATATTTTGTGAAAATGGTTTGAACATTTTTCAAAAACTCAGCAAGACACTCTGAGCACTACCCTTTTGTTATGTTTTTTGCCCTATTGACTTCCATTATGACATTTTAAATAATTGCAAAGCCACGCCACTAGGCCTGTCATAATATTTAATATAACAACTTACAGTGCAACACATGGTCATGACCGCAATCACTGTTGGTGATGCCGTATATATCGCCCATACATAAAAAACAATTCTAGCAACAATATTTAAAACTGCAAGGTGATTATATAGACCTATATTCACGATTTCACATAAATCAGCATGCCAAAAATAAATGATTTTCTTTTCTTCGTAGCTAATTAACATACAACTTGACTGCATAAAAATAATAGGTTAGATAACAAACAGGATTTATTTCTATTTTAAATTAAACGAAAATGAAAGAACTAAGAACTTAAACCAGCTCAAATGTTCTCGAATAAAACGTGTTACAATAATGTACAATTGTTAGTCGCTGGGTCATTTGACACTTTTATTACCACATTGCTGTAAAATTATTTCGTGCTTACACAAAAAAAGTCATCTTTCGTTTATAAACATGTAATATTTTTATGCTTTCCTCCGGGTGCTCCAGTTTTCCCCACAGTCCAAGACATGTGCTATAGGTGTATTGAATAAACTAAATTGGTTATAGTGTTTAGTGTGTATGGATGTTTCCCAATACTGGGTTGCAGCTGGAAGGGCATCCGCTAAGTAAAACATATTCTGCAATAGTTGATTCATTCTGCTTTGTCCACCTCTGAAATAGAGACTACGCCTAAGGAAAATAATTGAATGAATAATGCACACCTTAGGTGGTGCATTCAGGTATGCATTATTTTGTTGTAATAAACAGATTGGAGTCAAATATTGTGTATATACTTTAGGGTTGGGTGATGTCGACCAATTTTGCATCTTATGATGTCTAATGTGAAACATTGTGATGGACGATGGCATCGTCGTCGTAGGCGGCTTATGAATAATTAATTAAGTTATAAAGAATTAATTATTTGTAGCCTACAGTTTAACCTACCTGACCTGAATAATCTTTGTTTGGTCTTTGAGGATCTCGATGCCAGCTCAGCATCGTGATCTCTATCCGCCATAGGTGATGAACGATGGCATCTTCTATCAACTCAACCCTATAATACAACGGATACTACACTTAAAGACATTGTTCAGTTATTGTATTTCAAGACATTTGACCGGTTTTTGTCCGGCACATCTCATCCAAAGCCTTCGGTTGTGTTTTGATTTTATGCAATTGTTGACAGTTGTAGGCTGTGAAATTACTGAAATCATTTGATGTAGAGATATGAAACTGTAATTTGGTCTAAACCTGCCTGGATAACCTTTAGTGTGGTGGTTCACTGGAAATAATTGCACAGAATGTTGCATTTATTTACATCCAATTAGAATCAAGCATTCAACAGCTTATTATAATAGGATATAATTAAGCAAGATATCAGCTGTTGCAAACCACTATTTTTTTTTTTTTTTTTGAGAACACCACAAAGTGTTAAAAAAGATCACCTATAATTTCTATAAAAAATGGGACATTGTTATACTCTGGGTTTACATGTCCAATATGTTTTAGGCCAATGCAATAATATTAAAGGTCGCATGAAAAAAAAGAAAAGTTTTTTTTAGATGTAAGAATCAGTGTGTTAGTTTTAAGGGTATTTGAATGCTAGTGTGCTACAAAACAGCGTCAAAATTCAAGTTTAGAAGATATAAACCTGATATATAGTTGAAGTCAATATTATATTTTTTTCTTATTTAAATATTTCCCAAATGATGTTTAACAGCAAGGAGATGTTCACAGTATGTCTAATAATATTTTTTTTCTTCTGGAAAAAGTCTTATTTGTTTTATTTTGGCTGGAATAAAAGCAGTTTTTAAAATTAAAAAAAATCCATTTAAGGTTAAAATTATTAGCCCCTTTAAGCTATATATATATATATATATATATATATATATATATATATATATATATATATATATATATATATATATATATATATTTTTTTTTTTTTTTTTTTTTTTTTTTTTCTCGATAATCTACAGAACAAAACATCATTATACAATAACTTGCTTAATTACCCTAACCTGCCTAGTTAACCTAATAAACCTAATTAAGCCTTTAAATGTCACTTTAAGCTGTATAGAAGTGTCTTGAAAAATATCTAGTCAGATATTATTTACTGTCATTATGGCTTAGATAAAATAAATCAGTTATTAGAAATGAGTTATTAAAAATATTATGCTTAGAAATGTGTTGAAAAAAAAAACTTCTCTCCATTAAACAGAAATTGGGGAAAAAATAAACGAGGGGCAAATCATTTAGTGGGGCTAATAATTATGAGTCACTCTTACTGGCAGGGCTGTGATAGCCTAAAAACTAAATGCCATTGGCTGTTTTTTTTAAAGAGGAGGAGCTACTCTATATATCACCCTCTCTTCCTGTTTCAGTTAAAATTCCGTCAAACACTGAATAAAAATGGCCCTTTCAAAGCACTTCACAGGAACTTACACATTAACTTTTTTAGGTAAAAGAAAATCCCCTTTATTTGAAGATTAAATGCACTCGGGTCACTTTAGCAACTGAAAAACTGGTGTCAATTTTTTTTTAAATGCCAAGATTTACTTAGTTTTTATATGTGCATGTTAGAGCTTGCACACAGTCGATTGCACAACCTTTCGAATTAAACTGCATTTGGTAACACACCCAAACACAGAACCAAAAACAAACTAGAAAAAAATCATCAGCTTGGTGTCATGGTGGCGCAATGAGTAGCACGATCGCCTCATAGAGTAGCAAGAAGGTCGCTGGTTCAAATCCAGGCTAGGTCAGTTGGCATTTCTGTGTGGAGTTTGCATGCTCTCCCCGTGTTTGCGTGGGTTTCCTCCGGGTGCTCTGGTTTCCCCCACAGTACAAAGACATGCTCTAAAGGTGAATTGAATAGGCCGGATTGGCCTAAGTGTATGTGTGTGAAAAAGTATGTTTCCCAGTGATGAGTTGCATCTGCTGCGTAAAACATATGCTGGATAAGTTGGTGGTTCATTCCGCTGTGATGACCCTTGATGAATAAAGGGACTAAGCTGGAAAGAAAATGAATGAATGAATGAATAAAATAAGCGTATAGTTTTGAGTGTTGTTGTTGTTGTTGTTGTAGTTCTGTCACCTCTGTTGTTGTCTGACTTTTAATCAATGGTCCAGTCCAGTCTTGACAACCTGTGAACAAACCTAGTAGTTTTGCTGTGTTGTGCACTGTGCTCACGAGAAAATACCCTGTGGAAATCTAATGCCCTCTGAGTATAACCTACTTCAGTGTGTACTGATGTATAACTAACTGAGTCTAATCATTTTTCCAAGTTACAAAATGGATGAAGCAACTTTCAAAGAGAACGTGGTCTTCTGGATTACAAATCTTCAGCTTCAAATACCCGATTCAGTGGTCCTGCTTGTGGGCACTCATGTTGACCAGTGCCAGGATGAGAATGAGGTGAAAAAAAAGAAAGAGCATATCGAAGAGCAGGTTAAAAAAATGCTTGACACACATACAGTGAATTTAGAGCAGCGGAGGAAGAACCTGCAGGAAGTGGATGACCCGTCTTCGAACTCTGAGCAGATAAATCAGATTGAAAGACTCACCGAGTACAAACTAAAGGTAATTTGGTTTAGTAATGCTGTCTATTTAAATACGCAACCATTGGAATTTCCTGACACAATCTGCTCCATCTTCTTTTATTATCAGGTCCTCGAATTGGTCCCCATAGATTGCACTAAACCGGCAGACATCGACAAGCTTAAAACACGCATCAAAGCTGAGGTTTTAAACAAAGATACATTCCCTAGCATAGAACAAACATTACCCAGAAGCTACTATGAGGTGGAGAATCATATCCAAGAGCTTCTGGAAAACGGTGACATTCCTGAGCATGGTAAGTAATTGTAACCTTTTATTTGCACTCACTGGCCACTTTATTTGGTATACCTTACCAGTACAGACTTGGACTTTTCCGATATAATAATTAGGCTGGCTTGTGTAGCAAGCCAGACTATTGTTATCCTATTTTTCTTCTGAGACTAAAAATTAAACTCTATCTCCTCCTAGAGCTTTCAAGCTATGACCACCAAACTCCCACCAGACCTCCAAACTGGTCTGACTCGGGTTGCTATATCTTTTCCGACTGATCCGACTTTTGGTTTTCCGAAAAACGTCCCAGGTCCGTCTGAAAAATCCCATTGACTTAACATTGGACCAAACTTTGTGACCTCATAAGTCTGCATCAGACTGTCCTACAGGCTTCTAACTGGGCTCATTTAACTCAAACTATCTAACTGCCAATAACTGATGAGCTTTTAACTTTCTGGCCACACCCTAGCAACCACTTTTGGGACCCTAGAAACTGTCCCATAGACTTCCACTGCAAAAGACTCTCATTGACTTTACATTGGGTCAAACTTTGTGAGCTCATAACTCTACATCAGACTGTCGCACAGACTTCTAACTGGGCTCATTTAACTCAGACTACCAAACTACCAACAACTGATGAGCTTTTAACTTTCTAGCCACACCCCTAACAACCAGATACGGCACCCTAGCAATGGTCCCATAGACTGCCATTATAGAGGTTCAGATTGATATCGTCATGCTGCAGTGTGATAGAGACATGGGTGTTGCTTTTAACTGTTCATACTGGCAAGAAGCTTTGATACATCATCAGTCTAAGCTGTCAATCCACTCCATAGCAACAAAACAGACTAACCTAGCAACGATATAACAGCAGCTATATCTCAGTATCAGAACATCGTAGAGAAGCGGGGGTTGGTTTGTTTGACTCATGCTAGCATACCATCCATCCATCCATCCATCCATCCATCCATCCATCCATCCATCCATCCATCCATCCATCCATCCATCCATCCATCCATCCATCCATCCATCCATCCATCCATCCATCCATCTATCTATCTATCTATCTATCTATCTATCTATCTATCTATCTATCTATCTATCTATTCATACTTTTTAAAACTGTTTAAACTAAATAAACTATTACCATCAGGCTTTCACAAGCCAGCCTCAAAGTTTGTTCTCAAACTTTAAGAATCTAGTTTGTAATTAATACCTGAAGTAACTTAAAGAACACAACACTGACCCTGGTCAGTTGAGTTTAACGGTGGTCTTAATAAGAAACCTCTAGCAGTACATATTGTGCCTTTCTTAATTCTTAAATGTGCACCTTAACAGGTGTTGTGAGTCAAGATGTCCTCTTGTGTGAACTGAAGAACAGGCTAACCACACTAGACGATGATAAACTGAAATTAATTCTTCAGTATCTTCATCGAATTGGCGTCATCATGTGGTACAAGGAAATCCCCGAACTGCAGGAATCTTTGTTTGTGAAACCATCATTCCTGATCTCATTGTTTAAGGTTCATGCAATAAACATTCAACCATTACAAGTCTATCATTGGTGATGCACTGTACCTATCACATAAAATCTTCTCTCTTGATTCTGTCACAGACTGTTGTGAGACATGATCTTGTCCAGGAGCTGAACAAGATTTCCTCTGCGCAGCGGAAGTCAGAAAACGCCCTTGTGGTAGATAAGAAAAGATGGATCAGGGACTATGAAGAGAGAGCATCCTTAAGCAATGTGGCTATTAGGATCCTTGTGCGGACTGAGCTCGAGAAGATCTATGAATCTGCAGATAAAGAGCTCATTGAAGAGGTGGTTGGGTCCAAAAACAAAGAGGGAAGTCTCCTATCGCTGCTAAAACACTTTGATGTATGTCTGTCAACCAAACACAACAGCGGTCTCAATCCAAAAGCCAACGAATTCTGTCCGAAAAAAGATTGGGTGCCCTCAAATCCCACTGTATATGAGCTAGATGCATGTATGTTCCCAAGTTTCCTGCCAGACAACATGCAGGTGGAGCGAGAGTGGGGATCTAACAGTTCAGAAGACCTCAACATCCGGGTTTACCTTATGCCTGAGATACCACATGGTTTCTTCCACAGGTGAATGTTTACGCTTGTATTTTTTAGACTAAAATAAGCACTTGTCGTTGAAGAACATTTTTTATTTACTCAGTCTAGATATTCAAGGGGATAGTTCACACCAAAAATTGCTTACTCACCCTTTATTTGTTTCAAACCTTTGGGTTTTTTCTGTTGAACACAAGATAAGATGTTTAAAATATATATTCTATATCTAACTATATATATACACAGTTGGTTCCATAAATATTTGGACATCAACACAATTCAAACATTTTTGGCTCTATATACCAGCACAATGGATTTGAAATGAAACGAACAAGATGTGCTTCATCTGCAGACTGTCAGCTTTAATTTGAGGGTACTGTACACTGTAGGAATTACGACAGTTTGCATACAAGTGGGAGGCACATATGCAAACTTGCAAACATATGCAAACTAATGCATTGTCATATATATATATATATATATATATATATATATATATATATATATATATATATATATATATATATATATATACATATATATACCCCTGAATTATTAGCACCTCTGCTCATTTTTCCCCTAATTTCTGTTTAATGGAGGGAATATTGTTTCAGCACATTTCTAAGCATAATAGTTTTAAAAACTTATTTCTATTAACTGATTTATTTTATCTTTGTCATGATGACAGTAAATAATATTTTACTTTTCAAGACACTTCTATACAGCTTGAAGTGACATTTAAAGGCTTAACTAGGTTAATAAGGTTAACTAGGCAGGTTAGGGTAATTATGCAAGTTATTGTATAACGATAGATTGTTTTGTAGACTATGGAAAAAAAAATTAGCTCAAAGGGGCTAAAAATTTTGTCCCAAAAATGTTTTGTTTTTTTTGTCAAAAGCTGCTTTTATTCTAGCCAAAATAAAACAAATAAGGCCTTCTTCAGAACAAAAAAAATATTATCAGACATACTGTGAAAATTTCCTTGCTCTGTTAAAAATCATTTGAGAAATATTTAAAAAAGAAAAAAAAATCAAAAGGGGGCTAATAATTCTGACTTCAACTATATATATTTATTTATTTATTTATAATAACATATAGTATAACATAATGGAGTTCAATGATGAAAACACTAGTCAAGCAGAATCTGGCCTTGCTATGATTTGCTTACTGCATTGTCCACTATCTATCGAGCAACAGTTTTAAAAAAATCTGATTCATTCACATTTAATTGAAATAATTAATTCAAGTCAGCTATTTTAGAGCTTAACAATAAAACAAACAAACAAAAGGTTATATAAAATGTGAAATGATGATCTGCCAACCCCTCTTCAAATGAGATTGCAGGCCAAATCAAAGGTTTCCATATGCCAACTTTGACCAGCAGGCCCTTGTTTTGGGTTTTCTGCTTTAAATGATTTGGTTGTAAGAGTATTATCTTGGATGAATAGTATAAGGTTTAAAACTGATGCTTGCTTCACAGGCTGGTCGTCAGGACTTGCTCCTTTTATTCTCCATTCTGGATAGGAAAGGACCAGTGTATGCTGTGCTGTGGTGATAAACGTGTTCTGCTCAGAGAGCGGCGTTTTGACGAGGACCAGTTCATTGAGATACGCTGCAAAGAAAGTGCGCGTGAGTTCCCTCTTTTTTATTACATTTACTTTCTGTAGTGTATTTTTTGCATTTCTATTATCTCAAGTAGATTGAAATATGCATAATCTATGCAAATGTTTTAAGGTTGGTCATTTTTTTAAAAAATTTGTTATTCAACAAGACTCCATGAATAAAAACAAATGGTAAAAAAAAACAAAAAAAGGCTCCAACACACAATTTTTTTAAGACTATGTTTTTTTTTATAAATGCTAAGACACTTTTCTTGAAACTATCAATCTTTTTCTCACAACATTAATCAAGGCAAATCCTCAAACTGTATTCACAAAGCTCTAGACATTTCTAGCAAGATCAGTAAAACTTACGCATATGAATAGCATGTTATAATACACTCAAAGGCAGTGTTTCTCAACCATGTTTCTGGATGTCAAATCCCACTGTCCATGTCATGTCACCATGTCACTGCATGTTTTGGATATCTACTTTATTACACCTATTACAGATCGTTTAGTCTCTGCTAATAAGCTGATGATGTGAATCATGTGCGTTTGGTTAAGGAGACATGGAAAATGTGCAGATCAACCACGTTCTCCAGGAACGTGGTTGAGAAACACTACACAAAGGCATGCAGTTGGAAATGTACTCAACAAGAGACTTGTTAGGTTCACAAGGTCTGCACAATATTGCATGTTTTTGTCTGCAGTATACAAAATAATTTCACCATAACCAAAGTCATCAAGTAGCTCTATTTGGAAAGATTTAATCATTTTAGAGCAACAGGGATGGTTTTGGTGGGCAGTGCATCTGCATAAAATATCATATAAAAATGACATGCAATGATAAATGGAATAAAGCAGTGCTTCCTACAGGCGCACGATGCGTGTGGCATGATTTGTTGCTATTTTCAGATCAGTGCAACCTTAACTTTCATGTTTTGCACCCTGTTGTTTAAATAGCAAATTCATTTTCACCACTTTGTGGACTCATGGGTGTGCTGGTCTATAAAGGATGTGTGTTAAGGCGCATTGCTAGTTTGAGACGTTAGTTCAAACGCTTAATACTCAGGATCTACAGCCATACACAAATATCTTTACATATGAAAAAACGTTACAAAAATTATTATTTTCTACATAAATATAAAAACCACTGACTCCATGCCTTCCTCATCTCGGGGGGCTTTTTTCAGTTCATTCATGACAATTTGCATTTGTGTAATATTTATTATTAGTATTTTATTTTATTTCTTTGCATTTTATATTAATAATAATAATACATTTTATTTAAAGGCGCCTTTCTAGCAACTCAAGGACACCGTACAATCAACAAGAGGCATAAAACAACAAGAGAAATAATAAAATATACACAACAATAGTGCAGATAAAATTAAGTATTAAAAGCCATCTTAAATAAGTGGGTTTTAAGGCTTGATTTGAATAGTGTGAGGGAGTCAATGTTTCTGTTGGCAGGTGGTAGTAAGTTCCAAAGCCACGGAGCAGAGCGGCTAAATGCTCTGTTGCCCATAGTTGAAAGACGAGAAGAGGAAACAGACAAGTGAAGGGAGGAAGAAGATTGCAGAGTGCGAGAAGAAACAGAAATGTGGATGAGGGCAGACAAATATGGAGGGGCGAGATTGTGGATGGCTTTAAATGTAAACATTAAGATTTTAAAGTCAATTCAAAAATGAACAGGTAACCAATGAAGCTGCTGCAGGACAGGGGTGATGTGATATGAAGGAGTTCTGGTGACAATATGGCTGTGGACGGATACGGACGGATACGGCTCTGGACGGATACGGTGCTGGACCAACTGAAGCTTACGGAGAGATTTATGAGTGAGACCAAAGAGAATAGAGTTACAGTAATCTAAACGAGATGTGACAAGGCTATGAACGAGAACAGCAGTGGCATGAGGGGTAAGAGAAGGGCGGAGACGGTTAATGTTGCTTGGGTGGAAGTAAGCAGACCGGGTGATGTTATTGATGTGAAAATCAAAACATAGGGTGGTGTCAAGGATGACACCCAGACTTTTAACCTGTTTAGAGGGATAGATGGAACAGTCGTCAATTGAAAGAGAAAAGCTGTAAGTTTTAGAGAGTGTTAGTTTAGTACCAACAAGCAAAACCTCAGTTTTTTTAACTATTTCGTTTGAGAAAGTTAAGAGAGAGTCAGGACTAGATTTCTGCTAAGCAGACTGTGAGGGATGTAGGTGGAAAACAAGAAGACGGTTTGCCAGAGAGATATAGCTGGGTGTCATCCGCATAGAAGTGAAACTGTATGTTATATTTACAGAGAATATTACCAAGTGAAATGAGATAGATGATAAAAAGTAGGGGCCCCAGGACTGAGCCCTGGGGAACACCTGAAGAAACTGTGAAATGCTGAGAAGTGAATGATTTTAGATGAATAAACTGAGTGCGGCCAGAGAGATACATTTTATATATATATTTGATTTAGTAAAATCAAGTTGGGGACAAATGGGGCACAAGAATAGGATGTGTCTTTTGATGTAACTCAGTTTTTTGACCACGCTTTGTTATTATTGTTCATTTTTTCATTTGCTGGAAAGTAGAACTAAATTTACAAATAGTTTTGAAACAAATCTTTGCGTTTAACAAGCTAAATTACATATGTAGGCTAATGGATGTCTTCAGTGCAGTGTGTACAACACCGTTTCCTTATCCACGCAAGTAAAGGAGTAAAGAGTAAAAGTAAAGAAAAAGTAAAGATTCCAAATGGAGGAGGCTCGTTCTTTATCTTTCGCTAGTGAAGCGTTCAGTTTTTCCATTCAGTTTTTTCACTTACAAAACAATAGCAAATGTACCATGGCGTGATGCAACTGACTTTTAAAGGGAATAAGACGTGAGACTCTGATTGGTTGATTGCACGTTATGCTCAAAACATAACCATAACTCATTAAGAGATTAAGCACAACCCTGTTAGACTGTATTTTTCTGTCCTTAAAATAGCAAAAGTGGATTCGGACACACCCTTAATGCTTTTGCACTATGCGCTTTAGACTTTGTGCCTTGATCGTTAAAATAGAGCCCATAGACTTTACTTGGGAGGGCTGGCCAGGTATATGAACGGCCGCCCACATATATTTTGATAACAGTTTTTTTTTTTTTTTAACCAACATTATCATCCTTATACACTATTTGTATCGGTTTAAGATAGCCAAACATTCATGTTTAATTAACCAGTGGAAAATCTTCTCTCGCCCCATTTTGTACTGCATATTGTGTGTGTGCCAGAACTGTCAACACCACTTATTCAAACAGTCTCACATGCTCTGCAGAGACCCTCAGAAAGGCGTCATTTTAAGGCTTAAAAATGCATCCATCAGTTTCTAAATCTCCTTAAATGTCCGGGAGTTGACTTTGGTTTCACTTTCTAAAGTTGTTGCATTACTTTTTTATTAAAGACTACTTTCCACTTGACTTCACAGCAGACCTTCTGAATTCTTTAGCCTAAACGATTCAAAAACCATTATACTCTGAGAGGACGAAATGACATCCTAACTGGCTGCAAAATATATGTACATTATTAAAAATAGTCAGTCAACTTATTTGCCTTATTTAAGTAATCTACACTTTTTATTCTAACTATTAATGAATTGTTAATAAATATGATCCATTTTAGAGATATTGTCTGTTTTTATTAATTTTTCCTGTAGTTTATTTCTCATTTGCTGTATAAATTATTTATTTGATGATGTTGATATTTTACATATTTTATACATATCTAAAATGCTTTGGCAATACTATACTAAATGTCATGCCAATAAAGCAACCTGCACCTAATAAATAGAAGTATTTTTAAGTAAACTTAACCACATTATTTTTTGTGTCACATGTAGTAACCATTTATGTGCTGTGGGTAAAGCACATGTTTCAATCCGGATACCACCACAAGTATATTTCAAACCTGTGGAAAGCACTGTAAAGGTTTTTTAAATGTACATTTTTGTAATTAACACTTTAGTTTAAGCTAAAAATAAGTCCCTCTGTGAGAAAGCACCCCTACTCAACATTATGTCTTCATTCTGGGCTCTGCCTAGCATATCACAGGCAAAGGAACAACCCTTTTCTCACCCACATTCTCTTCCTTTCTATCTCAGATTATCTCCATTCATTGTTCATATCGAAATTCAGTGTGTCTGTGCTGCCTGTGCTTATTTTGGCTCATGTTTTGCACAGTTGGTACAGAACTGGCTCATATTTCGCACAGCTGGTTTGATCCCATCATAAGATACCAGTGAACAATTTTGAACAATTTTTGCCGTGTGTGTAAATGCTGAGAATTGTGTTTGTGAGCATCACAGTGCAGTAAGAGTGTTTTGGTTAAAGATTAGTTTTGATTTTCAAACTTGTCAAAGGTGATTGTGAAAAACAGCAACTTGTTTTTCAGCATAATATTATGTGCACAGATACACTGTATACAGCAATCACAGCCTGATCTCACAAGGAAACGTAAGCATTTTACATTTTGACAGTTAAGTGGCTAATTCGTACAAATTGGTACAAGTTTAGTAATACCAAAATGTACGATTTTAAAAAGGAGGCGTGGCACCAAACCCCACCCCTAACCTCAACCGTCATTGGGTGATGAGCAAATCGTACTAAATTGTACAAATTAGATTGTACAAATTTTAAATGGATTAGCCACTTAATCAAAAAGTTACGAATTGCATCAGATTGCGTTGGCATTTATGTTGGACTGATGAAATTTACAGCAAGTGAATCCAGTATTAATTACAAAGTCATTACAAAGTAAATTAATTTTAGCATTAAATTAATTATGAATTTCAATCTGTTAATGCTTTCAAACAATCTGTGTTGTATGAAGTGTCATAGAAAGATTTCTTGATTCCTTCAAATAAAGAAAATCTGTATGAATTCAGTTTAAATCATACAAACCAAAAAAGTTCATCAACAGAAATGCAACGGTGACAAATGTATGTAATATAAAGCATTTCATTTTGTTGTGTTTTTCCATGTGGCCATTAGATGCAAGTAATCGGTAAATAGGTGTGGCATTTTAATGAAAGTGTTAAACAAGAGTGGTACGTGCTTTCTGTTTTGAAGATGAAAATTTTGGTATACGTGTATTCAATATTTGAGGGGGCCTACATTGCAAGCTTTTAATGTGAACATTGTAAAAAAAACAAAAAAAAACATGTACAAAACTGTACCGTATTTGCACAACTGTATAGGCCTTTGTGATAGGCCTTTAATACACTCACCGGCCACTATATTAGGTACACCTTTCTAGTACTGGGTTGGACCCCCTTTTGCCCCTCTTGTTGAGATTCAACAAGGTACTGGAAATATGCCTCACAGATTTTGGTTTATATTGACATGATAGCATCACACTGTTTGTCGGCTGCACATCCATGATGTGAATCTTCCGTTAAACCACAGGGGAGGCCATTTGTGCACAGTGTACTCATTGTCATGTTCAAGAAACCAATCTGAGATCATTCATGATTTATGACATGGTGCATTATCCTGCTGGAAGTAGCCATCAGAAGTTGGGTACACTGTGGCCATAAAGGGATGGACATGGTCAGCAACAATTCTCAGGTAAGTTGTGGCATTGACACGATGCTCAATTGGTACTAATTGGTACTAATGGGCCCCAAAGTGTGCCAAGAAAATATCCCCCACACGATTACACGGCCACCAGCAGCCTGAACCATTGATTCAAGGCAGGATGGATTCATGCTTTCATGTGGTTGACATCGAGATGTAACCCTACCATCTTAATGTGTAAACTGTAGCCTCAGTTTCCTGTTCTTAGCTGACAGGAGTGGCAGCCGGTGTGGTCTTCTGCTGCTGTAGCTCATCTGCCTCAAGGTTGGACATGTTGTGTGTTCAGAGATGCTCTTCTGCATACCTCGTTTGTAACGAGTGGTTATTTGAGTTTCTGTTGTCTTTCTATCAGCTTGAACCAGTCTGGCCATTCTTCTCTGACCTCTGGCATCAAAAAGGCATTTATGCCCACAGAACTGCCGCTCACTGGATATTTTCTCCTTTTCAGACCATTCTATGTAAACCCTAGAGATGGTTGACTGTGAAAATCTCAGTAGATCAGCAGTTTCTGAAATACTCAGACCAGCCCGTCTGTCACCAACAACCATGCCACGTTCATAGTCACTTAAATCACCTTTCTTCCCCATTCTGATGCTCTGTTTGAACTGCAGCAGATCATCTTGACCATGTCTACATGCCTAAATGCATTGAGTTGCTGCCATGGGATTGGCTGATTAGAGATTTGCATTAACGAGCAGTTGAACAGGTGTACCTAATAAAGTGGCCAGTAAATGTATGAGTAGGCCTACATTGCAAACATTTCATGTGTACATTGTAATAATATATTATTATTAATTATAATTATTAACTAATTATTATCATCATTATAATTATGATCATTATTATTATTATTATCGAAGTGCATCTGCATGTCTGTATTACTTATTTTAAAATAATATCAGCAATTTTATTTAAAAGTTTGAGGAAAGACTTTTCACCTAGAGAAAAGGGAATTTTATAAGTGTACTAAGCTTAATGTGATTTACAGTGGAATAGCTTATTTTCATGAACAAAACCCAGCATTCCCTAATTTGATACCATCTTTGGTAATGACTTTAGTTTTAATGCACTGTATGTAATAAATAAAACTATATAAGCTTCCTTTTTTTCTCCTGCAGTTGAAACCTCAGAAGACATTCAGAAAGCATGGAAAGTGATAAAAGAGATCATGAAACGTCTGGACAGGCTTAAAGAGCAGTGGCAAGGCTTGTGCCAGAAAGTGCACAGCCCCTGCAAAGCCCAGGACTGTGAGGATTTCTTTGAATGGACTGACTGGCATGACTGGTTAGAAGATTCAGAGACAAACAGGTTTAATTTGTACGTTTTCATTTAATTTCCAATTATTTGCGTGTTTTCAACAGCATTATTGGTTCTCTTTTAACATATTTGTAGTGTTTTTAATCCTATTGTAGTAAACTCACTCAATACTGTGTTACAGGGGACTAGAGGAAAAAACCACATGCCGTAATGGACACCAGCGAAGGACAGAGTTGCTGTTCCCCAGAAGTAAATGCTTTCATTTAGAGAAATACAACAAACCTTTATTGTTTTTCCTTTTATTAATAATAAAATATATTTATTTTTATCTGCAGCTCCTGATGCCTAGGATGGACAATAAATGAACCTTGATTTGACTTCATGGACAGAGTTTGACATCCCTTCATGGATAGAGTTTGACATCTCAGCTTTAAACAGTTTAAACCACTTTGTTTACAGAATCAGCACAACAGCAGTGTAAAATTTTCGATATGCACTTTGTGCATATGTTTAATGCACTTTATCTTGCTGAGAAAAGCAACATAAACCATCATAGGTTTTTAATGGTTATATAATGAAAATTATATTGGTTTTAATGGAAATTTGAATGGTTTTTTGGGTCTTCACTGATAATTTTTACATTTTATTGATGGCATGTTAAAACCAGTAAATTCTAATGGAATATGTCCTAAAGCACATGCAAAAGTACTACGTTTAATGGTTAAAATTTGAGGGTTTGCAAAATTTCTTACAGCCAAAACTATTACAGCTTCTGTTTTGTTCAGCAGGGAATTTATTTCATATTTTATGATTTCATATATGGAGGTGTTTAATATTACTAAAGGGAAAACTCTCAGTCAAGAATTGTTCAGTACGAGATGTTGTCTTGTAAATACATGTTGTTGCCACTAGGGGGTGACAATGTATATCTATACGTTTACTGCTCACAGTCTGTTCACTCTGTGTTTAAAGCAGAACTGGCTTGAACCTGTAAAGGATTGTTCAATAAAGCTGTGAGATTCCTCAAAGTCTCTTATTGTTAGCCTTTAATTGCTTCTAAAAAGCCGTCATTACGAACAAACAATACAAACAAATAACAGGCTTACGTATTGAACTCTCTAGCAAGTTGTTTTGTTGTGTTTTTATTTATTTATCAGAAGCAGTTTGTCTATTTGCATCAAAGTTTTAATTAGAATGTTTGGTTTTCTTTATTTTCAGTATTTTCATCTGTCTGTTCATGTTCTGTTTCATCTTATTTAGTTATAAAGCTGTCTTAATCAGTTTTACAATTACAATGGTTCCCTTGGAGTATTCTCTTTCTCGCTCTCTCCCACACACAAGCACACACACAGAGAGTGAGAGGATAGTTCCCATTGACTTAATATGTTTCTGTTTTTCATTAAAAAGATAGTTTCCTTCTTTCTTTAAAATATCTTCTTTCGTGTTCGATAGAAGAAAGAAACTCAGACAGGTTTGAAACAAGTGGAGGATGAGTAAATGATGACAGAATTTTCAGCTTTGGGTGAACTGTCCCTTTAAGGTCCAGCTGACCATCAATATGTAGTTAATTTCAAAGTTTCTTATGCTTGTGGAAACATTTGGCCTTAAAATATATAAATAAACTATTCCCCTAACAAACCATTAGACATTAGAAACTTTGGTGCTTCGAATTTTGGCACTTTAGTGAATACACTACACATACAGAAATAAAAGTTTGCGAGTTGTCACTGGGGTGGTACCTTTTCAAAAGATACACATTTGTACTTAAAGAGTCCATATTGGTACCTTAAAAGTATATATTAGTACCTAAATATTTTAAGAGGAATCATTTTGTACTTTTTAGGTACTAAATTTAGTATTTAGTATTATAAATTTAGTTCAGATTTATATGTACCCTTGAGGTATTAATATAGACCTTTTAGGCACAAATTTGTATCTTTTGAAGGTACCACCCCAGTGACAGCTCCCTTTATTTCTCTGAATGTATGACATATCAGTCTGTCACTTTGTTTACTGTATTAGATTAGATCTACTGTATATTCTGATGCTCTTTGTTGGTTTGATATTTTTATTGTCTGTATTTCTAAGTTGCTTTGTACATACAAAAAACTGAATTATTTGATAAATTTTTATGGCCTGCTCTGTTATTAACCTTTTTCACCTTGCCCATAACCATGGTTTTATTATAATGAAAGTGTAGCAATCGTGTTCTGGAGCGTTGAAAACCATGGTCAATTGTTATGAGGGACATCTCAATTAGTTATTAAAGTATTAGTAGACAGTCTATAACACTTTTTATGATAGCCCAACAACAGATTCTGCTAACTAAAAGTAACTGTTGTATGTACATGTCAACTTAACCTGTAAACCACCCACAACCTGACAGTCCACAAATACTTTCCCATAACGAAAGTTATTTGTCGTGTAGTTTCAAAGTTTCTTTTAGTCAACAGAGTGTTTTTCACAACCGAAAGTTCACCACAATAAGCCTGATTGTACTATTTTGAGCTCTTGTTTATTCAGGAGGCTATCCAAAGCACTCTGGACACTTGGAGAGACAACAGGTGATTATTAAGCGTCTAAAAACTTGTCAAACCACCGTATTATTGGATAGTAATGCTCAAATCAGCTAACTTTACGTTCCACAACACAGCAGATCCGCGTGCGCCTGGGTGATCATGATTTCACACAGATCGGCAGCGCCTCTTACGCGTGGCGCAGTGCGCGCACAGAATAGTTCCTTTGAGTTTGTCAAAGCCACGCGCCCGGCGCGCGAAGCCCGAGCAGGGGATTCATGCAGGGGGCGGGCTCTTCTTTTGGGAGCGTGCGGTCCGAAAGGGGGTGGAGGTGTGGCGCACGTGTAGAAAAGGGAGAGCAAGTTGCTTTCCCCTCAAACCAAGCAGGTGAATCGCTTCTTGCGACCCACGCGAAAGGCACGAGAGCGGCGCATTACTCGCAAACTCCCCCTCTATTTATCTATTTATTTCACGCGACATGGAGGCAACTGTCGTCGCTACGACGCAACTGACACAAGACTCGTTTTATCAGCCTTTCTCGGAGAGCCTGGAGAAGCAGGACAGGGAGTGTAAAGTGCTGAAGAGACAGCGCTCGAGCAGCCCGGAGCTGCTCAGGTGCAAGAGGAGGCTGACCTTCAACGGACTGGGCTACACAATCCCTCAGCAGCAACCCATGGCGGTGGCGCGGCGCAACGAGCGCGAGAGAAACCGCGTCAAGCAGGTCAACATGGGCTTCCAGACGCTTCGCCAGCACGTACCGAACGGAGCGGCGAACAAGAAGATGAGCAAAGTGGAGACGCTGCGCTCCGCCGTGGAGTACATCCGAGCCCTGCAGCAGCTGCTGGACGAGCACGACGCCGTGTCGGCTGTGCTGCAGTGCGGCGTCCCGTCTCCATCCGTCTCCAACGCGTACTCGGCGGGTCCGGAGTCTCCGCATTCAGCCTACTCCTCCGATGAAGGAAGCTACGAGCATCTCAGCTCCGAGGAGCAAGAACTGCTGGACTTCACCACATGGTTCGACAGATACGAATCAGGTACGAGCAGTTTTCGGACTTTTTAACTTTTTACAGATCATGGGCCCCACCATCAACCTCACAGCAAATATATTTAAGGCCCTCTGTTTCAAGTCTTCAGTTTTATACAAGAACTGAATTACGATCATTTTGGTTTATGCCTGCGTCTCATAACTTTAATTGTTGTATTACAGGTGCTTCAATGGCTACTAAAGATTGGTGCTGAAGAGACAGCAAGTGACCAGTCCTGGTCTTTGATTTGCTGCATGCTGGTGCCCATGAAGGACCCGAGTTCGTTGACTGAGCAAAGGACACTCACAGGACATTTTCTCCAGCAATGCACACAGATGATGCAAGTTTCCAAATGTGACAACTGCACGGGACTTTCGGAGTACGAGGATGTCTAAACTGCTGACTTGTGTCTTGTCACCTCATTCTGTGTTCAACGTTTTGCCCTGCTGATGCAATACTGTCTGAATGAGCACATTTTGAATGAGCCAGTGTGTTCCTATCATATTGTACAAATAACGAGGTGACCAGTCGTAGTTTTAAGTAATTGAGGAAACATAGTATCAGGTCCCTTATACAGCGTCTGCAAGGGGATACACTAACGTTACACTAGGAAGCCCATGCACAGGCAAACTGTATATTACAATATTTTGTGCTAGATGTGTGGCAGTGTTTTTATACCGGATGAATAACTTTTGTATCAAAGTGTGCACTTGTGTGTTTTTATACAAACTTGTGTATATGCAATTTTTTTATGAAGAGAAACCTATTTTATGTAAAATAAAGATTTTATTTATTCAGATAAATGTCTTGTGTGTATCTAAAAAAAACCTCCAAATATACTTTTTAAAAAGCATAACCACAATTTTTTTCTATGGTATCCAAAAATATATCAGAAATATGGCTGATTTACCTACACTAACATACATATTCACAGCAATATAGGACAACTGTTTTGAATTCAACAGTTCTTGTTATAATATTTAGCTTCAATCCTTGAGAGAAAGTTTCTTTATAGGGCTTTCCAATCCTCTTGATTGCAAATATTTTATAAAACAATTGCCATTGAGTATGTCAGCATGGTGTAACTAATGGTAGTCATTTACTGTATAAGCACAAAGGAGAATGACAGGCAGCTGTAGACTGGACGCAACCTTGGGATACAGTGTGTGAACAGTTAATTTTTAAGCAACAACAAAAAGTTGAAGAGTAAAGCAATTTATAACCCCTGAATACCTTTGTGGTGGAACCAATGTGTCCGTACCAACCTATGGAGGCTGTGAATAGACGTCAGCAGAAGACTAATGGTGATGAACTAACTGTCCTGGAGGGCATCCAAAATTTCCTACCAATGTCTGGTTTCCCTTTTTTCCCCTGTTCAGATTTAGCATATATGCTGGAATCAGCAAAGATAAAGAGGTCTGTGTAGGTTTGTGCAATTCACACTATCCTCATTTCGAAGCTAGCCTGCAAAAAGCTGCCCCATTCTTGCTTCAAATGACATCCTTCAAAGTGCTTCAAATGTGAGTCAACCAAGCACTAAGGTTCCGAGTGCATGAAAATTAGCATTTTCTATTGTGCGTGTGAAGTTTGGATGCGCTGTAAGGCCTTTCGCCATCATCCAATCAGACAGACCCGTGCTGATTTTGAATGGCCTCTGATTTAAGTGACACAAAAGCACTTTTGTGCGAGAGCTACACCATATTCATCACATCGTGCCTTCAACATAAATCTGATTGGATGTCTTGGGCACTTTGATGTCGCTCCAGTGGACGAGTGGTATTGTGATGTCTAACTTCAGCCTGTATCGCCTATTTTCAGCACTTAGATCAGGAGGTTCTTTTAATTTGCCAAGAGTAAATTCATAAAAAATCTCTCCCCTAATAAAACACCAGCAGAATGATTGACACTACTTTACAGAGCCTCACACAAAAGCCTGATTTGGGTCCAGTGACAAATGAAAGGGGCCGGGTGCGGGGCCCATTCAGACTAATTTTAATCTTTCGCTCCCTCTGTTTTTTTTCTGTCTTTATCTTTTCTATAGTTTTTTTTCTAGTTCTCATTTTGGAGATTATAGAATCTTAAAAAATAAAGGGGGCTTTCATAGTGATGCCACAAAAAAACATTTTTGCCTTCCCCTAAGATCCTTTCAGTGAACTGTTCATTTTTTCTTAGTTTGCTTTAAACAAAATACCATTTTAATGATTAAACTACACTCAGTTACACTGTATTTTCGCTGTCCTTTTAAAGGTGGGAGTATATATTGGTTACGATTAATAATAAGGTTTCATTAATGTTAGTTCATGTATAAACAACGCTTGTACATCATTTTTTAATCAAAGTTCTAATGCATTGTTAAAATACTTAGTCGTTCTTGTTAACATTAGATAATTTACTGTGAGTTGGCTTGAACTAACAATGAACAACTGTTTTTAACATTAACAAGCATGAATAAATACTGTAATTAATGTATTGTTCATTGTGTGTTCATGTTAATAAATGCACACTGTAAAAGATCCTGGTTGCCTTAAGTTTTTAGGCTGAATCAAATTAACCTTTTGTGTGCAGTAAACTTAAGATTATGTTAAACTGACTTAAAACAGATTGCATAACTTATAAAATTAAGTTAGAACAGGATAAACTTAGTTTAATAAGTTACAATGAACTAAAACATATGCTGTCAGGAATAATTGATCATATATTTTTTACAGTGCATCAACTAACATTAACTCAAACAACTTTATTGTAAGGTGTTATTTAACCCTCTAATGCATGATTTTTATTTTTGCCAGTCTGTATTACACAACAGGTCTTTGGTGAGCAAGAATGTATAAATAACAGATTGATGGCCAAACTGCCCAATGGTGTAAAGTTGTTGTTTAATAACATTTACAAAGCAATAAAAATAAACGTTTTGCTATCTAATGAAACTTCTAAGGATATCTGCATCAATAGCATTATCAGTGACATTTACATCACATTACATTTATCTCAAAACCTTTTTCCCCTATATATATATATATATATATATATATATATATATATATATATATATACTTCTTCTTTGTAATATTGTTGATAACAGACAGTGAAATATTTAAAAAGTGGATGTATAATAAAAAAAAAACAATGAAAGAAGGCAGTGGATGATGTCCATTGAGAGTCAATTACATTTACAATTTTTAATATATTATTATATCTTATTTATTATATTTTATTATATCTTATTATATTATATTATATTTTAATGTATTATAAGTTATTATATTATGTTAAAATTTATTATATTACATCATATTATAATTTATTATATTATATTATATTATATTATATTATATTATATTATACTATATTAATATTATATTTTATTTTAATGTATTATATTATAAGTTATTATATTATGTTAAAATTTATCATATTACATCATATTATAATTTATTATATTATATTATATTATATTATATTATATTATATTATATTAATATTATATTTTATTTTAATGTATTATATTATAAGTTATTGTATTATGTTAAAATGTATTATATTACATCATTATAATTTATTATATTACATTATATTATATCATAATTGTATATTATATTATATTATATTATATTATATTATATTATATTATATTATATTATATTATATTATATTATATTATATTGGTGTTATCATTATAATTTACTGCCAATAGTAAATGCATGTAACAAGTCCACTGTACCAGACCTTTGTAACTTGAACACATGCATGGATACAGTGGATTTTGATTAGCAAATCCAAGCATTTCCCGGCATTTCACGTCATTCTAAATATTATATACTACGTTTAAGGTCTGCCTTGTTTAAAGTGAATAATCTACTGCCCAATTGAGACAAAATTTAAACCGAGTCACAGGCAGGCCAAGAAAAACTGCATCAAACACTCTGTTAACAATATCTTTTAAATATGAACATTTATTTTAGCATATGATGCGTCCAAAAGCTTACACAGCACGCCAGACATCTGCAGGCAAAAAAATAAAAAATGCTTTTTTTGGCTTAGTCCTTTTATTAATCAGGGGTCGCCACAGCGGAAGGAACCGTCAACTTATCCAGCATATGTTTTACACAGCGGATGCCCTTCCAGCCGCACCTCATCACTGGGAAACACCCATACACACTCATTAACACACAAACACTATAGACAATTTAGCTTACCCAATTCACCTGTACTGCATGTCTTTGGACTGAGGGGGAAACCGGAGCACCCGGAGGAAACCCATGCCAACATGGGGAGAACATGCAAACTCCACATAGAAATGTCAACTGACCTAGCCAGGACTCAAACCAGCGACCTTCTTGCTGTGAGGCGATCTTGCTACTCACTGAGCCACCGTGACGCCAAAACTAAAACATGAAATAAAAAAAGAATAACTGTTTAACTTTTATTAAAGGTTTATAATGCTAATCAAATTAGATGCATTTGTTTGGTAAATAAAGCAGGTCTCATAGAAAATATCTCATAGAAAAATGTGCAGATTTCTGCACCTGCAGATTCCACGTGGACCTGCTATCAAACAGCGACTCTGGAGGCAATATTTGTGCATCTCACAAAGCAGACAGAACTGTATTTATTTATTCATTTAGCAGATGCCTTCATCCAAACACACACCTAGAGCGAGTTAGCTGCCTTGCTCAAGAGATTCATCTGTGGTACTGAAAGTAAAAAAAAAAAGGTTATTCTCTCCCAACTTTGAAGATCAACTCTCTACCCATTAGGTCACTGCTGCTTTTTTGAGGCAGCATAATTATTTAATCACGTACAAAAAAATAGAGAGGGCTTTGGTGCTAAATAAGAAAATATACTTTTACCCCCTAAAAGAACACCCAAGCACAGCTTTTTAGCTCAACTTCCATGAATGAAAAGCAAATGATTTTCGGATATCAAAGGACATATCATTGCTGCCTTGAAAACTAGATCGGAAGATGTCACCACCTGAGACAGGAAGTGAAGCAAAATTTGGATTCTGACATGCCCTTATGTCTTGTGTCATTGGAAAACTGCCCCCGAAGGCAACATTTTAGTGCTGTCATTTTAGTGCTCAACATTTTAGTGCTCAAAATTTTAGTGCTCAACATTTTAGTGTTAAATTGAACACAAAATCAAGCAAATGGCGCAAAATTTAAAGGAGCTCGAAATGTTTTTAATCACCTAATGAAAAGATTTTGGCCAGCACTGATACATGTTGAGCATATCTTCAAACATTGTTTATTTTAAATAACATTATGTTTGCATATACTGTAGAAAGTGCTCAGTTAGCACTCAAAAAATCTACTTTAATTTTTTATGTTCAATCCACATAAACTTGTTAAAAGTGTTAAGTTAACTTAATCGATTTGTTTTTGGACAACATGAATGAATTGTGTGGAACCCTGCATTTTTACAGTGAGTGTGGAATCCACGGGTTGTCATAGACCAACGCAATTCATAACTTTTTGATTTAGTGGCTAATTCGTATGAATTCGTACGATCTAATTCGTACAATTTGCTCATCACCACACCTTTTTAAAATCGTACATTTTCGTATGACTGAACACGTACAAATTCGCCACTAAACATGTGTCCCTCTTTAAAAATCTCATGTGACACTATTGTGTTTACGCATTCAGGCAAAGCCTATTTGAACAAAGCTAGGTTTTATTGATCACAAAAATTTTACATTTTAACATGCTATTTTACATTTTTCTTATGCTATTGTTGAAGAGAGTATTATTTTTTTTATCAAATATTTACCGTAGGCTATGATAAAATTAATTTAT